GTGGTCAGTTTCTCTACTGTTGTTTTTTGGGACCTTGTAGGGGCTATACTCTGCTTGTGAGTTGTCTTTAATCCATTAATGTCTGTGGAGGTGGGTTGCGTGCTGTTTCTGAGAAGTCAAGGGTTATGCTTGTCAGACTAAATCACAATCTGTGGATTTGTGTGTCTATGAATATCTCACATGCATGTGTATGTACCAAAACATGTCTGTGTCTATTCAGTGCCCCCCTGTCACATTCCCTCAGGTTGACAGGTCTACTTTGATCTGTTCTGTTTGCCACACTTTGAGGTGAAGAGGACAAGATGCTCCTGGACATCAGGGTTATGAATTTATCATGGGGAGCCGGCAGAGACGCAGCAAGACAGTCTTGCATGGGGCTGACGCTCCTCTCTTCTTCACTAGCCTTTATTGGTTTGTGATGAATTATTCCTCTTTTCTTTTTTTTTTTTCTTAGAAAAATATTGATCGTCCTGTCTGCATGACAGTCGGCCTGTGTGACAGCTCGCTGCCAGAGCCTGCGTTAGATCTTTCAAAGACATCCCTGCCTGCTTTCCTTCCCGTCTGTCCCCTATACACCATGTACTCCCGCAGCTTTCTTTCAAATCATTTTCTTTTTACCCTCCCACTGCTTCTCGCTTTGTCTCATCAGTACCACTCTCAATAGATTTCTCAAAGTCGGGAAGACTGCTTTTACATGTCAGAGTAAACAGTTTCAAAAGAGGCTGTGAATAATTTCCACATCAGGATGTAGCTCTGAGGTTGTGTCTGTTTGCAGGGTCGAGGCTTTTTCTGTGTTTCTGGTGCGGTGCAGTTTGTGTTTCTTACTCCATCCAGCATTCCGTTTCATCCCAGTGCATCCGATGCTTAGTTCCTGTGTGATGTCAAAACAGATCTATGTTTAATGTGCAGGCAGGGCCCAATTACTCTGAGCCCATAGCTGTACCTAGAGACTTTAAAGAGGTCCCTTTGCATGCTAGATAACCACGATGGCGTGGCACAGCGATCCCCTTTAAGGACACTGATTGCTCATCCTCTACTCTGGTAGTTTTGACGTTTGTTGTCTGCTTTGGGGTAAATTTCCCACTGAAGCGTCATTTGAGGCTCATGTCTGGGTTCCTCTTTTATTTAGAAAATTTGATAGTCTCTGTGAAGAGCACATCAACACCCCTGCTCTTTGGTGCCGCTTCATCTCTCTCTTCGTCCTGGAGGCTTTTAAGGAAAACAACCGAGATCTCTTTCCTCCCTCCGTTTAACCTCAATCTGCTCTTCCTCCACCTTCCTTCTGTCTCCCCTCACTCATCCTTCGTCACCGGAGTTGACAACCTGTGTCATTTGACGAGGTTTACTTTGATCTCCTTTCAGAGCCTCTTCTGAGAGTTTGTATGTGCGTACATTTTTGCATTTAGCATAATTTATGTGTGCATATTTGTGTTTTTTTATTTTTTTACCGGCACCTTGCCTGTCTCCTATTTGTCCGAGTCGTTGCAGGGACAGCAGCGAGTTGATGGAATCTCTCTTGAGTTAAGGGAGTGCAGCTGTCAACTACCGATCCCATGACACCACACACACACACACACACACACACACACACACACACACACACACACACACACACACACACACACACACACACACACACACACACACACACACACACACACACACACACACACACACACACACACACACACACACACGGTTACAGTCTGTGTTTCTCTGAAGTGCCTCGCTTTTGACAAATCCATTTCACAGTCGCTCCTCCTTTCATGGCTCTGTCAGGATGTATAATCCCTCAACACCTTCCATACAAACATCGCACATCTCTGCTTTCTGTTTTCATCAGTCATTCTTCAAAAAATGTAAATTGTTCTGTTCTTCATCTGTTTCTATTTCCAGTTTAATTTAGCGTCCTTGTATCTCATAAATGTTTAAAGGCATTCCCCGTTCTCTTTCTTCCTATTTTTCCCTTTTTGTTTTTCATGGTCAACACCTTCATGCATGCTGCTTTCTCTTCCACTGCTTCCTTTCTTCAAACACTTGACTTCCTGCTTTCTTTCAACTAGAAGCTCCTGGTTGCATTAGCTAATCTCTCAGAAGACATGGCACAGATACAAGACCTACTACCTCTTCTACTTCAGCTTATTGCTATAAACATCCATCCCCTCATTATTCAACCGGCACAAATAAAGCAAATACGTTGTGATTTAAAATGAATGCTTTGGTCATATCCGTGAAAACGCAGCACTGCATGTGATATTGATGTTTGAAGATGAATCAACAATTAGCTGCTGATGTGCCATGAGAGTCTCTCTGTGTCTCTGTTCTGTGAGAGCAGATTCAGTGCCAGCGCTGTGGCTGGAGAACCTATAATTGCTTCAGAATACTTCCTGTAATTAACATCTCTCGGATAATTATGCCACAACCCCAGTCATCACTGTTCACACATTATTAGGCTCAGTGTGGAGGGATGAAAACAGGAACACCAGGGCTGCATGATGTGGAAAAAAATAACTGTGTGTGCTTATGTTGACTAATATTACAAATGCGATAGATGAGGGATTATCATTTTTGAAACATCATTGACATTAACATTTAAACATATTAAAGACATATAATGCTAGGTTCATATATGTATTTCGTGTCTCTACTGTGACACGTTTACATGCTTTCAATGTTCAAAAAGTGTTATATTTTTCTCATACTGCCTGTGCTGCAGCACCTCTTTTCACCCTCTGTCTGAAACCAGAGCCCAGGCTGCTCTGATTGGTTAGCTGGCCGGCTCTGTTGTGATTAGTCAACAGCTTAGAAATGTCCTGCCTATCATGTACAATGTGTTGGAGCGCTAGCTAATAGAAGTAAACAAAGAGTCAAATGGAGGCATTTCAGTCAGGGGGGGATGGGGATTGTTGCCTCTGCAGACCAATTACATGCACAAAAACCTATATAACAAACAAAATATTGCACTTACTGCGATTTTGATATTGTACTAGTCCATGTTGCGATTCTGATCAAATGTAGATTCATTGTGCAGCCCTAAAGCACAAGTACAGTATGCGGGCACACACTTTACTGTATTGTAACAGCAGAATATTTCCCGCTCTTTTCATCGGTGTGAAGGCTGTAAAAAAGCAACAGTGCACTTGTTCCTCATGAACATGGTCACATTTTAGCCCTGTCTGTTTTTCGACAGGGAGTTGTCCCAAATGTAGAGTTTGCTGTCTTTGCTGCAGCGACATTAAGAAGAGACAGGAAGTGGACAGGGCAGTGTGGCAGTTCCCGATGGCAACAGGACTAGAGGGTGGGACAATGAAGTAGGCCAAACAAACAAGCTTAGCCGAAATATGAACAAGAGACCATAACATAGAGCGGGATGGCCCAGGTCATTTCATCAGCATGTCATTATTCTGTAATCCCAGTACTGTACCGACTGCATGTGGATAGTGATTGGTCAGGGACACTTGTGGATATTGCTTTTTCCACCTTGATGCAGAAGAATACGAATTTGATCACAGATGTGCCCTATTTAATCAGAAACTGGTGTTATAGTGCAAGATTGCTTTTGTCAAAAAAGAAGAATCCAATTTAAAGTTTGTAGGTATTTTAGGAAACATACATTTAGAACAAAGCTGCAAGGGATTTATATTTGTCTCCTGCTCTTTCCTGAACAGTCTGACAGTCTTTATTTGATTTGATTTTGTTATCTTTGATTCATGTTGTTTCTATTCATTACAAAAATGCTAAAAGACAGGTGATGGGTATGTGTTCTTCTGGTTGTGTGGGCGTTGTTGCAAGATGTTAATTGGATTGAACAAAATATCTATTAAAGAGCAACACATTTCAGCCTACGATGACATGGGCTTTCTGAACTGTATGGCCTTTTTGAGGAGCGAGAAAGGGAACAAATATCGAAAGAAACTCTTATTTTTTATTTATTTTTTGCCAATCAAATCGGGATGTTCAAAGAATCTTTAACAATGGACAGTGGAACCAGGACTAAATAAAAACTACCCAACTGGAAACTGAAAATTGTGTAGCGTTCACTTTTCTTCAGTTCCCAACCATTTCAGACCAGATGCAGAGGAGATTTAATGAGACGTTCAACATGAAGTGACGTGATACAAACTAACTACACAGCACTACGGTTCCTTGCTTTCCAGTGGGAATGATGACCCCATGCTGCTCAGAGTCAGTGAAGACAGATACAAATGAGAGGGTCAGATGCCAGCTAGGATCATGTTACAGCTAGAAAGGCAAAGAATAAGCCAACTTCAAAGCTCTGTTTACGATAATGCCTTATTTCACATAAGCTATTTCAACCTCAATACTAATGGACACAACATATTATTAGCATATCCACAAGGAGCTGACAGAGCACATGTTGCAGTGACCTCTAACTGTATGTTTATGTCAGTTAATGACTACAGTTATTCTTTCACAACCTTGCTTGACTTTTTCCATCATATTGTTACACTTTTTCTTTACTGCTTACTTATTACTTACTTTTAAATCCTCTGTCTTGAAGCAATATTTTAGGATTCTGGGAAAAATGTGAAAACAAGGAAATGATAGAAAAAATTAATTGCAGAACATCAAAGTTTTACAGAGTGTTTATATGTCTGACTATTTCTTGGCCAGGTGCAGTGACTTCCTGTAGCTGGCAACAAGACTCAAGGAAGTCATTGGTCTCCAACAACATAACGTCCAGCACACTAATTCCCATTATATCATAACATGTTTTTTTTGGTTTGTATGCATTAGTTGCAAAGGCTTATCTAACATGCTGCTATCTTTACCTTTTTTTTGACCGTACAGACACTGTAAAGTGATTACACTCTCCTCTAATAAGCAAGAATACGAATAAGCCTATTACTCATATAATAAAAATTGATCTTTATATGTAAACTCTTGTTGGCAATTGTGCTGGTATTACCCATCTCACCTTGACTTCTTCTACTTGGTGCTTACCTCATCTCCACTCACAGTTTCCTGCTCTTCTTCAGGTCACTCTGGTGTCGTGTCTATGGGAGTCTGCAGGCCAGGCAAACATCCCCGACAACTAAAGTCACCTCCACAGAGTACAGTATGTGTTGTCACTACGCAAGCTGTGCATGTTTCAGCATTTCAGTGAACTTGGGTACTTGTGAATGTTGAAGGTGAAATGCTTCTGCAAACTCTCCTTAGATGAGTCCACTTTCTGTGTCTGATCCAGTTTTAGTTTTCATAATGTTGTCATTTTCAGTTGAGTGGAGCTCAGTCAGTGCTCTGTCTGTCAGCGTCTGTCGTATTGAATCACTGTACCTGTCCTCACAAACTGTCAATATGTGACATGAGGGAGTTTCATTTTCAGCTTTAGTTATGTTCATTCAAATCTGCTTTGAAATATAAGGGAATATATTTTTCTTTGAATTGGTCATATATTTCCTGGATAGTTCCTTGTTAAGGATGCTGAAATTCCTAAAATCAGTATATTTATGTAACAAGTAATGTGTAAAGAGAAAGGGCACCCACAGATAACTACGACATCATGAAGTATTTTATAATTTTTTTATCTCATTTAGGTTCAATTTCATCATTAACAAAACATTGTATGCAGACGCAGTAGGCAAAAAGGCTTTAAGCTGCATTCATAATCAAATGTCTCTTTGTTTCGCAAGGTTGTTCTCACAGCCTTGTGTTGAAAACAGCTAGTTAAGTTTCGTCCAATGATTATGTCCACTGCTAGCTACAAACAGCTGTCATCTGATTGATTGCAAGTCGAAAAGGTCAGCGGTAAACAAGGTCAAAGTTGAAATAACTTGAACTTTGAGCGCAGCGGTTGGCGATACATTTGCAGCTCTTTCCATAGAAACACAACGGCATCGCCAGCGTAGAGCCGTTTTAGATAGATACAGTAGATAGATAGATAGATCTTTAATTTGTCATTGTACAGGTACAACGCCTATCATGTGAATGCAGCTTTAAGAACACACTATATGATACTTATCCAGTGCAAAACAGTAGATAGACAAAGTTAATGAAGCTGGCGAACATGGTTTAGCATTAAGCAGAAGCATTTGTCAGCCATATGTTTGAGCCAGGAGTTGATGGAGTCCAAAGCTGAGCTAAAATTAGAGTAAACATTGGACCTTTTCATCTAAAACGACTCAAAATAAGTACACATTTTGTGTTATTTGTCGTGTCTGCTGATGTATAAATGGGCACGTCTGCTTATATGTTTATCAATGTCAAGAAGAAGATGATATTTAAGTGTTGTATTTCAGCTTGCTTCCACTGCCCCAAAATCCCTCCGAGAAGGTATTGCAGGTTCAAGTTTCAGTATCTATCCGCATGTCTTCCATTTAGTTTAGTGGGTTCACTTGCTAGAGGAAGGAGTAGTCTGAGCGTAAAAGCTTAAATCGCTCCAATTTGAGGAAACTTTAGTCCAAGTTAGAGAAATCTTTGCGAGCGATGCTTGAATTCTGTCTTATTAGGCTTTCGACAGTGCGTGTTATCCTGACAGGGGCTCAGTCAGCTAATCTCTAGAACATTGCGGACGGACAGCAGTAGGATCTAATATGATGTGAGATACACATACTCCCATCTATCTGCTCCATCTGTCTTCCTGCTTATAACAAGTGCTGTACCCACCTGGGACCCCAGCGGCACAGACTCTGATCTGCCTGATTCAGTGCCTTTTCAAAGATGTCTCTTCCTGGTTTATTACGTGGACAGAACTTTCTCCACCTCACTGCTGTCGAGTGATGAATTATGAATAGATGCGGATCCAGCAGCACCGCTGGCCGGACCTGAGGACTACTTTCAATTCGCACACCGCCTCCCCTCTCTGCCTCGCTGGTTCACTCCGCTAGTCAGACTTCTTCTCAAGGGACCTCCAAGGCAGTATTAGATTGCCGCCTGAAACTCTAACCCCGCCAATCATGTAAAGAAAAGTTTAATTTGTGTTTGTGTAGTAACACAACGTAGTAACACAACGCTGCCCCTGCGTTCGACTTCTACGTGAGTGGCATCTCTTCTTACTGCTGTTAACAATTCTCACAGGAAGAGGAAAGAGCAGAGCGTGTGTGGCCCGTCTCAGATACTCGTTGACTCCAGATAACCGGTTGTAATTGGCCTGGTTGATGAGCAGGCGGCAGGCAGTGAAAGGGAAGGAGAAAGGACAGGGATCTTTTTAATGAAGCCAATGAGAAGGACATGGAGAGCCTGCAGGCTTCAAGAAGGATTAGGGCAGGCTCCAGCTGATTTAGGCTTATGATGCTTCCACAAGTCTCTCAACCTTGAGGGGCTGAAAAAGGACAAGGAAAGTGACACAGCCAGAATAAAGAACGAGAGTTCACATCTTTCTTTTTTTTTACAGTCTACGTGATATGCAACAGTCTATTTTTCTCCTCCTTTGTGATACGTTGATCTTTAGCCGCCCTTCATCCGGAGATGTTGGTAAACAAAATGATTTTTCTAAAGGTCAGTGTCCCCAAGACACTAACCTTTTAATACACAACTCACATGCATTCCTCTGCAGATTGAGGACAGTGTGTGTGTGTGTTTGAATATGCATGCAAGTCTCTCTGTATCTGTATCCCAGTGCATTCATCCGTTTTTAGATTTGAACACGTACATCTGTGTGTGTGTGTGTGTGTGTGTGTGTGTGTGTGTGTGTGTGTGTGTGTGTGTGTGTGTGTGTGTGTGTGTGTGTGTGTGTGTGTGTGTGTGTGTGTGTGTTGATGTGAAGTGCAAAGGACTGTGAGCTAAAATATCCCGTCTCTGCCTCTCTGGATGCGGCAGGGCGTGCAAGAGTGACAAAGAGTGGAGCCAATTGGCATGGAAAGGGCCATGGCTGAAGTGATGGCTGGTAACACAGCAGACAAGCCAGCCAGCCAGGAAATAGATGCCAACAGAGATACTGATCACACTCACCTCCACCTCTTGATGACTTTGTCTCTCTGCTTCTGTCACTGTGCCATGTATCTAAGTGGAAACTAGAAAGTGTTTCAATGATACCAATAAACAACTTTAGTTGTGCATTTAAGGGAGAAATCAAGTCACATTCATGACTCTGTGTTTACAGGGTTAGGGTTGCCTGTTAATATGCTCATTTGAGCTTGTGAACATGATTCTTGGTAAAGGGGCCCTATGGGGTTTTCCGTTTCGTGTTGTGTGTTATATTGGTTATTGTGCATGTAAATGGTCTGCAAAGGCTAAAATGCCAAAGTTCCCTGCCTCAAACGCCTCCATTGGATTCCCTTTTTCATGGGATAAATGTGCTGAAATTATACGTTTACCGTTTATTTTACCTAAAGCATTGATGCCTGGTGATGAATTGTCATTATTTTGGGTCTACCGTGTCAAACTAATAGGAATGGAGAAAAAACAACAGCAATATTATGCGTTAAAATTGCCCCTAGGTCTCAATTTCCCCGGCATAATGGAAATTAAAGAGGGTATATACAGTAATAGGTTGAACAGGTGCCATGCATACGGAAGCAGGGAAGGCAGAGGAGTTGACAACCTGCCATTTACTCTGAAGAGTCACAAAGTAATGGCTGTTTCCAAGTCATTACATTTAGAATGTGATCACTGTGCTTTCAAGGACACACATCTTGTAGTCAAATGGCCCTTGACGCCTTCAAACAGGATTTTGTCATTCTATCAATTTATCAGTTTCTGCCAGACGGAGACCTAATCACAAATGATATTGTATTTCTTTTTTAAAACAACCCCCAAAGATTTGGACATGGGCAAATGAACAAACCAAACACAAACTATGCGTTCGTTCTATAAGGTCCCCCAATTACGTCCTCTCTGTGCTGTGTCACTTCTCATCCCTGAGAGAAGTAAGTCGAGTATGTAGCCTGAGAAGCAGCCTGGGCCGGGGGGTCAGTTTTTGCCTGACACACTCTGTTCACAGGGGCTTAAAGGGAGGATGGACATTTAATACGTTAACTGCCAGTAGCAGCCTGTCCTCATGATAAGCTGAACAGAGAGCCGGGGGCTGACCCGAGTTGTCGTTTCACTGTGACACCCATACTTTCCTGTCCAGAAGCAAATGACAGTGAGAACAAAATTGGTCTAGAAGACCCCTAAAAGATTTTCCCAATAGTACATTTCTATCATTTAAGATAAGTTTCACAGACTCTTTTATAATGTTTTTTGGACTTTTAAATGATAGAGTTATGCTGACTCACTCGCTTGCCGAGAATAAGATAAGAAGATCAATACCACTGTCATGTCTGATCGTAAAATGTGAAGCTTGCAATACAATATGATGCAAAGGATACGAGAATACTTGGTCAGATCAAGTCTGAATTTGTTTCTGCACTTCAGAAGCTCCAATTGCAACATCGACAAGAACAAATAAGAATACACGAAACAGTGAAAAATAAATGTAAGATAACATTACAATCACTGAAGACATTGTTCAAGACCTTATACCCACATTTGATCTGGGTTTTTAATATGAAGATTGACTGGTGCACAAAAGAGTGCTTCGGTCTAACCTTATTACATTTGATGGAGTTCATAATCACTGTTCAGGACATGGTTGGGATCAGAGATTATTGGAGATGGTCAGTTGAAGAAAGACCAGTATTTTGGGGAAATTTGGGGGAAAATGACTCACCTTGCTGTTATATTCAGAAACCAAAGTTGTAATAACATGTTAAGTTGTGGGTTTATGTTTTAGACTATCTCTAAAGCTACATCAGACAGAAAGTGATAGGAATATTTGTTACCCATACTGTGTGATGAGTGTATTTTCAGTTTCTGTTTATTTGTCACTTAAGAGCCAGGCTAGCTGTTTCCAGTCGTTATGCTAAGCTAGGCAAATCATCAGGCTCAGGCTTCATGTTGTGTGAGACGAACTAAAATGATATAATATAGAACATTTCCGCTTAAAAATGACTAAAATGACGATCTATGCTTTTATATTTTGGTGAGCAGTGTAATCCCAAATGTTTCCAATCATTTCTAAATTTAGAGAATCCACTGTATGTGGTTGACTACCTGTGAGCCTCTCCGCTCACACAGGGTTCAAATCAGGACGGAAAGAGCAGGTTGGTGAAACACAGGCGTTTATTAACTCCAAAC